CCCCCGCTAGAGCAATTTTCGTCCAGCTGATCCCCCTGTACGGTGGAAATTCGATATACTCCGATGCGGCCCATACCATGCCCACAGAACGCCCTCCCGACAGGCTTTCAAATGAGCCTACTCCCGGCCAAAACGGTCCACAGATCGTGCCAATATACCCCTTTTGATTATCTGATCTGAGGCCAAACAAGCTGTCAGATGGGCTGTCAAGCGTGACGTTCATCAAAAAATTTCTCCGCCTGCGGCGCAGTGGGACATCCCATTTGCTGGGACTTCCCACTTCCCACTCGAATGCTGGGACATCCCACTCAGAGTGGGATATCCTGCCATTTCACCCCCATCTTGGGTGTTTTAAGTCAGGGAAATAATTCACCTAAGATGGTCTACTTCAGGGTAGCCCGAAGTGTCCCTGAAACATCCTCGCTCGGAGTCGTCCCAAGCGAAGGCCATTTCGTGATTTTTGAGAACGTCTATCACTAGTCGCTCCTCTTCCGGCCATAAGAACCCGTCTGGGTTTAGGTTCATGGCATCCAGCCTTTCCTGCGTAAGCCTTTTTCCTGGCGTGAACGGAGGCGGGTTGGGATTTAGAGGAGGCATATTTTTCAAGGGATCTGACGGGTATTTCCGTACGACCCTAAACTCCTCCGGCAGGCTTGCCGCCACGGAATGCACTTTCTTTGCCGCTGGTTTATACTTCTTCTTCTTCTTCTTTTCCTTCTTCTCTGGTTGTTCCGTAGCCTCGCCTTCCGTGACCTTCACGGTGAAGGCGTGTATTGTTTCATCATATTCGTAACTCTGCATCAAGCAGTATTGCATGTAAACGGGAGATATCTCCCAGACCTGTTCCGTGTCCGTGATTTCCACGGCACGGACGTGGTGCGTGTTCGTTCCTTCGGGGGTGTATAGTACAAGTGGAGAAGAGAGTCGAGTTAAATTAAACGATGGTATGGTTTGCTGGATGTGCGCGCGCTTCCATTGTCGGGAAGCGTACGGAGGTAGTGGTCGGTATTTCAGATGCATGGAGCCCGTGGAGACCTGGACTGGATTTCTTCCGCGGAGACAGCACTTATTGGGACTGCCCCGCGCCTTGAAAACCCAGGTCCGCAGGTATCTCCTGCCTGAACGGGTTACGGCTTTTATTTGTCTTCTTGCGCGTAGGGATAGTGACCCTCTTGCCCGTGTTTGGGCAAGTGAGCGTAATTTGCTGGCTCCCGTCCGTATCGTCCGTGGTTACGCAACCCGTGAACCGGAAGAACGGCCGACCCAGGAGTAAGTCGAATGGCGCTCCTTGGACAACGTGAACTTGGAAGCGTAAGTCCAGTCCCCCAACGGTGATTTTATAGTCTGATATAACGCCTGCCGTAGCGTTCGATTGGGAGTTCGCCGACTGCATGTTCAATATCTTCTGCGGGTCCAACCCAACGCCGAGCTTGAGCCACAAATCTTTATTCATGGCAATTATCTCCGAGCCCTGGTCCAACACCGCCTCAACCTGAAGCGTGTCGTCTAGGACAGGGTCAACGACCCTCAGCACGTCGATTTCTGATGAAGTGAGTTTATCTTCACGGACTTCGCCTCCTTTCTCCTCGTATCGTAGAACGTATTGGGTTTCCCTCGCCGCCTCTGAGTAAGTCACGCCCACTGTTGGTACCTTTTTGGCAGTTAGTAAATCTTTCATGTACTTCCTACCTTCCGGGAATATCGCAAAGAACTCCTGCGGAGTAATCTCGAATTTGGTCGCCATCGCACGGTTAACCATTTCTCCCGTATTGATAAAGTCCTCAATCGGTGCCCTGTATCTTTGAATGAATGGCTTTGACGGGTTTATGCTGAACGTAGGTTCCTCCAACACGGCTGCTGGTCTGATGACTACGGAGCTTTTGGGTACGGATTTCGGCTGAGGAGGTGGTACCGTATCGGGCGTGAAAGCAACTTTCTTTTTCGGCGCCGGTGGAGGTTTAGGAGGCAAAAGTACTCCATCGAACACCTCCTTGGGCTTGGCCCGCTCCGTACGCTTGCGCGTTTCGAGAAAGGCCTCGATATCCTCGTTCTCTAGTTCGTTGATCGAGATTTCGCCAACCTGGTACGCAAGAGTTTTCGTGGCTTCCCGTTCGTCTACTTCTTCCGCGTTCGACGAGGTAGCCATGTATAGCATGTGAGGTGGGGAGTCCCGAGTATAAAGGTTGACTTGAGCAGGAGTTTGCTGCTGTGCGTGCCATTTATCGATTCTTTCGACAAACGAGTTCCCCGTGATGTACCGTGGAATATAATTCCCTCCAGGTAGCACGATACGGTTCTCCTCGTTCTTTTTGCACTTCCCAGACCGAATGTACTCTTCAATCTTCGGGCACTCCCTCAAATAATGCCCCGCTTCGCCGCAGCCTCCGCATTTTCCCTGCGGAAAGCCTCCCCCAGGATTATTCCCTGGTCCCGTTCTCTGCGCGTCCTGATAGGCCTGGTTCTGCGCAGGCAACGGTGGCGCAGCCTCTCGGTTCCAACCTGGCGCGGTTTGTACTTGATTCTGGTACACAGGGGCACGATTCCGTGGAGGCTCGTTGGCCCGTGGCGGCCCTGTTTCGATTTTCCTGGAGAGCGACTGTATCTGAGCCGTAAAGGTCTGGTTCATGTCGCGCATGGCTGTTGTGAGCTCCACCATCTCCTTTTTAATGTATGCGCTGTCTTCGTCTGATTCTTTGTACAGCGCGCCAGGAACACCGTTGATAGCCCATTCCGCGGCCTCGATTACGTCCACCATGGGATATGGTTCATCGCTGGGCTGCGCGCTCCGTACGACTTGGAGTCTTCCTAACACTCTGAGACGGAAGTCCGGGTGAATACCCTTCATAAAGTACTCGTTGACCTCTCTGTCAGATATTTTTCCCTTTGCCTTCAGGAAGTCTGCAATCCGCTGGAAATCCTGAGTGTACTGGCCGAACTCGTCCCTATTCGCGGGTGACTTCAACTGCGCGGACCTGACTACTTCTCTAAAGTCGGTCCAGGTGTAGAGTTTGTCTCCGTCCGCCCCTGGATATAATTTTACGATCGCACTTTTGAATGCTTGGAAGGTCATTCCCGCAGTCTGCTTTCGTGTCCATAATTGCTCCTCGTCGATCTCCAGGTATCGGAGTGCGATATGAATTAAATCGCCATCCGTGGTCCTTTCTGAGTCCGTTCCTACGTCCTCGACGTCCTGAAAGTATCGTTTCAGGTGGCCAGCTTTCCCGTCGAACGAGGGCGCGGACTTTGCGCCACGGGCCGGCAGTGGTTTCGGCATTTTCCGTACGGGAGGTAGTTGGATGGGGATTTGTGCGGATGGGGAAGGTAGTGAGTCGCTTGACAGCGTAATGGATGATGGGTCGGAGATCGAAGTGGTTTCCACAGGGGAAGACGCTGGCTCGGTATCCTCTAGCTCCGTGAGCTCTGAGTGATCCGATTCGATTTCTGCCACAGGGATCCAGGGGATTCGGTTCGAAGAGCGTACTTCGGGTTGAGTCTCCGCAAGTGTTATTTCTTCTAGTAAGGTTCGGCGGGGACCGCGCGTGCTATTGGTAACGGGCGTGGGCGGGGCGACGGAAGTCGTGCCCTCACGCGCGTACGGAGCGAGCGCGAGTCTCCAGCTGTGAATTTCCCCCTCGCGGTGGGCTCCAGATGTGATACGGACTGCGGTTCCGTGAGTTGTCTGACCGGGTGTGGTATAGTCAGGCAAAAGCACGAGATTAGTTCGTCCTCTAGAGGGAAATTTCTCTGTCGCGGAGATTCGTCTGCTACTGTAGTACACGCAATGTTATGTATTTTTAAAAGGTGGTGGTGGTGGTACAGTTCCTTCCGTATGGAATGAACAGTCTCGCTAGGTTCCTCGAGGATTTATTTCCTCGTTGGGGGGCTAGCCTTCCAGGAAAGCTTCGATCGGAGGGTTTTCTACACTTGCGCGAAGGGGCAACGCTCCGCAAGATGAACGCCGTTCCGCGTCGAGATGCCTGGGCTATATGGTTCCTTTTCTTATCCCCTTGCCTCGTATAGGTTGGGCAAGCAGTATCTTCAGAACTGTTGAACACAACACGTACGGGTTATAGCGTAGTCCTTCGTAACCCGGCTTTTTCTCTACGCTGTGGTGGTACGGCCAAGGAGTGTCAATTCCGTGGGCGTGTGTGAGGCGAAGTGGTGAGAATGAATCGTGAAGTGGTTATAATCGAATTGGATAAGCCTTCCGCGACGATGGGGGTGGTACTCCGCGCACGGATCTGCGTTCGAGGCCCAAGCCAACGGTTACACACTGCTAAGTTGGGCTGCTGGCCGTTTGGAAGTTTCGCCGCGCGTACTACAACCACGCGAGCTATCAACGCCGATGTTTTCTATAATTCCTTCTGGCTCGTTCTATTGAGCTGGAAGTACTACGGACAAGCCTCCTTGATTGAAGCTTTGGCCCAATTTGACCTTGGTTGATCCCACGGAGGGCGGCGCAACCTGAGCGAGTATGTATTTTGACTAGACTCTCACCCCGTATGATCGAGGGGGAGTAGCTTAGGTATGAGCAGTGGGAGGTAATAAGATGCATTCTTCTACGGACGTCCCTGCTTTTATACTAATTTCTTTCCGACCGCCGCGTGCGACCTTGTTCCTCATTCGTCCACGGACCCCTTTCAACACTGCCCTCCTTGCCTCGCGGCGAGGATCTCCATGCTCTCCCGTGCGCTTGAAGGAGATACCTAACCCACGGACCGTAACGTTGCTGCCCGTGCGCCCAATTTCCGTACTCCGTAGCTCGCACCTCCTTCCGTAGCCTTGATATGTACCGCGTGGCGACACTTTCCGTACCCCGTGTAGTACCTCTTCCGTGTTCTGCGTATGCGTCATGTCGATTTGTTAATTTTCGTGAGGTCCGTGGCGCTTTGGGGATTTATTTGGTGGTAGGCCTGGTGGCGTAACTGGTAACGCGCGCCCTTGTTTCCACTTCTACGCAATATGACAGTTGCGAGACCCTGCTGGTTGTTCGAGGTATTGGCCTGGTGGCATAACGGTAACGCGCGCACTCGAGTTTTCTACTTCTCCACGATATTACAATTGCGAGACCCTCGTTCGATTCGAGGTCAGGCCATGTACCTTTTTCCCCACAGGAGAGAATCGACCGTGGGTCGACACCTTTTCCTTGACGTCTTGTAGTGTAGACCCGGTGGCGTAACGGTAACGCGCGCAATTGTAGTCTCTTCACAATATTGCACTATACTGCGAGTCCCTCGTTTGATTCGGGGTCGGGTCGTTTTTTGCTTCCCTTTCCCACAGGAGAGAATCAACCGTGGGTCGACACCTTTTCGACGTCTTGTAGCGTAGACCTGGTGGCGTAACGGTAACGCGCGCATTATCGGTTCCTCGCAATATTGCACTATACTGCGAGTCCCTCGTTCGAATCGGGGTCAGGTCGTTTTTGCAACCTTTTTCTGTGCGTGCTCCGTAGTGCGTATTTGCCTTTTTCAGCCACGGAGAGAGCGTATCACAAAGTGACAGCTCACAATGTACATCCCCACCACAGTGAGAAATGTGAATACCTCCTTGAGTATTGCTCACCGGATGTACAGAATGTGATTCGAACCATGGAGTCCGTTACTACTTCAAACTGGGCGAGATTGCACCGAGAAATTTTGAAATTTTATGAGGCTGAACGGGCCACTCAGAAATTCAAACCTTCTGACGTCGTAGCCTTCTCAGTCAAGCCCAGAGGACGTCCATGCTATAATTTAACGCAGTGGCAGAAATACTTTGTGAAATAGGGATTCACCCTACGCTGCGGCAGGTATTGGAAAATCGAGTTCTGCAATTATTGCGATTTTCAAAACTAATGTCATTCGCCAAAAAAAAAAAAAAGTTTTAGCCAGTTCACATCAATGACATAGTGTGACAGTAACGCGTGACCATTCGCGTGTTCTCTCTCTTCGCGTCGTCCAGCTCGTCTCTCTTGCCTCTAATCACCCTCCCGAGCCATGTCCGACGCGGGTGACGATGATATGGCCGTTGGGGACTCTCAGTACACCGGCAATCACGACGATAATCCTGGTACGTTGGTTACGATCAGTGTTATGGTGCTACGCCAGAGGTCTTTCATCCCACTTACCTACAACCCAGAATCACAGTATAACGACGGGAAAGGAGTTAGATACCATGTTAGTCTTGTACCGCTAGCTCCTCCTCTCAAGAAGGGCGAGAAACACCGGAAAAACAAGAAAATTGAGACCATCAACCGCACCATCTATCCGCACGAAGAAGAGTCTCTTGCCGACGTTCTCGAGGCAGCTATCACTGTCAATAAAGGTGCACGTAGGTGTAGGTAGGTCGGCGTAGTCGGCTACAATAGGTCAGCGTAGATCACCTACGTCCACCTTGACAGAGATCAATAAAGGCGCACGTAGCTCTGCGTAGGTGTACATAACTGATCTGAACTGGGTATATTTAGATCGACGTAGGTCGGCGTAGGCGATCTGGATCACCTACGCCCACCTTTATTGATCTCAAGCAAAATAGCACAGTGAGTTCATTGGAGATGGTAGTTGGATATACTGCTAGTACACTGTGCTCGGCATATGTCACTATGTAGACCTACATTCGACTATATTCATCTTGCATAGGTCACTAAGTTGACCTACATTCGCCTATATTCACCTTACCTGACCTTGACTGACCTACGCCGGCAATGTGAAAGTTCGATGATGAGGCATGCTGCTAGGCGGAACCTAGGAAATGAGTGGTTAGATAACAAACCTAAGAAAAAAGAAATCAACAACTGACATCCCATTGCTTTTGTTTGCAACTCGATCCACAATCTGGTCCACTTGAGGCCGCCAAATCTTCAACTTGGGCTTACTCCCAACTTCATTGCGGATGAAAAACCTAATGTCCTCCTCTGTGATGGTGTACCCCAATGTGATATGGCCCACATCTTTGAAGCCCTCGGCAAAGATGTTGCGGGGCTGGCTGGTGATCAAGACATACGCAGACCTACACAGACCTACATCAACCTACGCAGACTGTATGTAGGTGGGTCTGAGCGTAGGTCCATGTAGGTTCGTGTAGGCCCCTGAACTCAGGCTGAGTCTAGGAGGTCCTTGAATGCAGTGTATCAAGGCCATTGACTACGATGGCAAACTTCTCTTCAAGGTTGTTGCAAAAGATCTTCGCGCTTCGAATTTCACCGTGAAATGGTCTATCACCCGCACCGATTTCAAGAACATGCTGCTTACGACCACCGATCATTTTGATGAGATGCTCAGCGAGGCGGTCCTGAAGGCAACTCCAGCAGTAAAGCTTGATTTTGTAGAGTTTGAGGTACGAGCTTTCTGTTGTGCTGTGTTCTTCCCTCGTTGAATAGCTTCAGCTAGAGGAGGATAAGAACGATAGCGATGATGAGCCGTCAACATCCAAGAAGAGAAAGGTGCGCCCATTGTTTCATCACACTATGGCATCACTGATGGTGTGCAGCTAACTGACGAAGAAGAACTCATGGCGGAAACAATATCCCAACTCAAAGCAGCATACAATTGCTCCGATAAACGATGCACCTCCCCGACATGCTACCTTGGTAACGCGAACGGTGACCATGTTCGTTTGACGCCGATTCATCTCAATACTTGGGCATCAGCTAAGGTATGCATCTTATCTGTCTGCCGTCAAGTATCTTCTCTTCTCGCTCACTTTATACTAGCTTGCTGGGATCGAAGGTGTCGACTTGGAGTAATGTTGCCGCGACTCGCGACTCCGAGGCTCCGAGTCGACTCTGCAAGTCGACTGAAGTCGAGTCGAGTCGAGTCACGGATGTGACTTCGTGCGACTCGCAAGTCGAACCAAGTCGACTTGCCCCGACTTCGAGTGACTCGGAGTCAATCTCAAAATTCAATTAGCTACGTTTCGTCTGATACTGCTCAGAAAAGTCGAGAGAACTCGGACAATACTCAGAAATCACATTGAATGCTCACTTGTCTTGCAACTGGTAGGAATCGGCTTTGGTAGTGATCAATGTACCTCAAAAATGGTCGAGAGGGCTTGGGAGAAGGTATAAACTATTGTAAAACTCACCGGCTGAAGTGAAGCACCCTAAATGCGGTGTTGAAGCCAAAAGATCAAATGTTGATATCCCATCATTTTCATCGTGACGGGCCGGTAATGGTAAGCATACCTCAGAAATGGCTGAGAAGGCTTTAGGGGAGCTACATAGGTCACCCACAGCGGTGTACAACAGGCATTGAACCTTCTGCAAAAATATTCATAAAATTCCGACTTCGCCGACTCGAGTCGACTCGAGTTGACTTGGAGTGACTCTGTGACCGGAAGTCGAGTCGAGTCGAGTCGACCCGCTTTTGGAGTCGACTTCCTGAGTCGTGACTCGACTTTTGGAGTCGCGGCAACATTAATTTGGAGCATCCGCCTGCTGACAAGATGTTCCAACCTGTTGAAGGTGCCGACGATGTTGACAACATAGCCTTGCTGGCTCGGCGTCGTACCCAGGCTAACCAAGCGAACAAATCCACAACCCCCTCGATTACTATCAACAATGATTTTGCTGGTCTCGCCCAGTTATCCCGTCCTGACCATGCGGCAACCGCACTTGCTCCCGCTCATCAGCCCGCACCGACACCCAGAATTCCGTCGCCTGTAAAACCAGTCCAAATGTCCTTTGCCGCATTTTGTCTAGCCGCCAATCTCCCCATTGATATCTCCGCAAAATTGGAGATTCTGGAAATCGCGGGACCGCATCTGTTGGAGTTTATTGAGAATTCAGTTTTGGATCAGTATCTTTCGGTCGGGAATCGTGCAGCGTTGCGCTACGCCGAGTCACAGTGGAAGAAGGGATTGATTGGTTGAGTAGGTTCTGATGTGCTAGTGTACAAATTGCGCGACTTTTATGTACTGTAGTCCGAATGCATGTCTAGATGAGGCCGCAATGGCGCCAGAATCCCCAAGTCATACTTGGTGTAATAATTTGGAATGCACGATAGAGTTCGTAATAGGCCGCGGAGACCGGATAAGCTTCGATCCCAATGCGACGCAGATAGGACTTGATTGCGGAAAAGGCCTGCTCGACAGGCTGGAAATGGGGGGAGTATGGGGGAAGGTATTCTATTTTGCAACCTACAAAACTTCAGTATGAAATCCCGAGAAGAATACCGACATACCGAATGATTCCACCAGTTCACGAATCTCGTCTGAATGGTGAATTCTTGCGTTATCGAGAAGAAGCACGCTTTGCGGGGCTGGAAACGGATTCATGATAGGCAACTAGACATAGTTTAGAAGAGCCTCTGGGGTTCAAACAGAACTCACCAAGTCATTACGCAGATAATCAATGAAAGTGTCTCGATCAAACGAACCCTCGACAACGCGCGATGCAATAATTCCCTTGTCCAAGGCCAATGCACATATTGCCGAGAAACGTCGCTTGCGCACAAATGGGATATTTGCCTCGGCACGCTCGCCTACGGGTGCCCTTCCCCACAGTCTCGCGTAGGTCCTGTCATCTTTCGACATCTCATCAATTGACACGAGGTAATGAGCGGGGTAGGCGGAGACACGATGGAGAAAGTTTCCGGCCTGCAGAGGGTCCCGCTCTGCCGCCATTCGTTGCACCCGCTTGACACTCAATCCAGCCCGCTCAAAGGATCGATGTATTGTCAAAATTGACGCCGGGAGATGTCGATGTTCTTCAAGATAGCGCTGATATTCGTCGAGAAAAATCGTAGGTTTGTGTTTTGCAAGATGAAGAAGAAAGGCGCAGTCTGCAGCCTGAAGGAGACGGGGACGGCCTGGATTGCGAGCGGGGGCCCTGGCGACAGTGCCGGTTTCGCGGACACGCCTTTTGGCTCGGAACATTGTCCGTTCAGACATGCCGCATATCTTCGCTATTTCTGGTCGTGTGTCCCGACCACGCTTCCAGAGTCGCAGTGCAATACGTTTAGCATCGTCAGATATGTGCCGGTTGCCCATAGTAGGTGTGGTGGTCGTGAAGAGCAATTCCAAAGTGTTTGTTTACCTGTGTTTTCCACGGACATCCGCCCTGACGTCACCCTCAAGTCACCGCTCAAAACTTTTTTTTTTTTGGCGAATGACATTAGT